CTACTACTACTACTACTACTACTAGTACTCCTACTCCTACTCCTACTCCTACTGCTCCTGCTGCTGCTCCTACTCCTACTCCTCCTCCTCCTCCTACTACTACTCCTCCTACTCCTACTCCTACCCCTCCTCCTCCTCCTCCTACTCCTACTACTACTACTACTCCTACTACCTACTACCTACTACCTACTACCTACTACCTACTACCTACTACCACCTACTACCACCTACTACTACCTACTACTACCTACTACCTACTACCTACTACCTCTACCTCTACCACTACGACTGCGACTACTACTACTACTACGACTACGACTACGACTACTACTACTACTACCTACTACCTACTACCTACTACCTACTACCTACTACCTACTACTTACTACTTACTACTTACTACCTACTACTTACTACCTACTACTTACTACTTACTACTTACTACTACTACTACTACTACTACTACTACTACTACTAGTACTAGTACTAGTACTAGTACTACTACTACTACTACTACTACTACTACTGCATTTCCCAGCACGTGCGTTTAGAACACCACGTTCGTTTGCCCCGCGGGCACCCGATGTTAGCTTTCTAGAACAATTCCAAGGCACGTGGCAAGGCACGTGGACGCAATATTCATATGGCTAAGGGGTGCCACCTTGAACAAATTCAAGTTCTCGCAGGTTCTCATCCTTCTGTTTGGGGGGGCGGCATGTTTTGTTCTTAGTCACATTATGCTCTGTGCCAACACGTGCCAACACGGAAAAACGAATATGCGCCGCCTTGTTGGAACATAATCATATCGGCCTCCAGGTGAGCTACTATCACAAAAGGGACCCTGGACTTTGCAATACTTTGCACATGCCACAGAAAACTGAGCTGTCACTTGTCCATCGATGTTCACTTTCTGGAGTCTATTCCACTCTGCGGTGCCTGCAGAAGCACATCCGGAAGAAGCCAGGCGGTGAGAGCAGGATTGCCGACGATATCCCGAAGGTAAAGTTCAAGGAATCCGTTCTTCCTTCCTAGTGACAATGACAAACTGTTGGGCGAGGGAAAACAGTT